ATGGCCATTGTTCCTTGTTGTTCCAGGGGGTGCCCTGGTAAACAGATCATTGCCTACTTCGTGTTGCTCTCCCCTTAAGAGTTTGTACTCTGGCACAAGGTCCCCTCTCAGCCTTCTCTTGGAGAGGCTGAAGAGGTTAAGGTCCCTTTGCCTTTCCTCATAGGGCCCTCCTTGCAGGCCTCCAATCAGATGAGTAGCTCTTCTTTGGACCTTCTCCAGGTTGTCCGCATCCTGCTTGAACTGCAGCGTCCAGAACTGGACACAGTACTCCAGCTGTGGCCTGACCAGTGCCACGTAGAGGGAGAATCACCTCCCTGGACCTGTTTGTGAAGCACCTACGGATGCACGACAAGGTGCGATTGGCTCTGCCGACTACTTCATCACATTGATGACTCATGTTCATCCTGGAGTCAACAGTGACTCAAAGATCTCTTTCTGCCTCAGTGGTGCTGAGAAGGTCACCCCCCAGCCTATAGGTGTGATGGTAGTTCCTTCTCCCTAGATGCAGCGCCTTGCAGTTGTCCTTATTGAATTGCATCCTGTTGCTCTCCCACTTCTCCAACCTGTCTAGGTCAGCCTGGATCTGGTTCCTCCTCTCCAGGGTATTAGCTTCACCCCATATTTTTGTGTCATCCACGAATTTGGACAGGGTGCTTCCCACCCCCTCATCCAGATAATTGATGAAGATGTTCAACAGCACCGGCCCCAGAACTGAGCCCTGAGGGACTCCACTGCACACATTTTTCTAGGTTGACATGGACCCATCCACCACCACTCTCTGTTTCATTTCTTTTTCTTTTTTTGTGTTTTTACATAAACCTGTCCTGATTGGTAAGACTGGGTGTGTCTACATGAAATGCTACATCACTATAGCGTTGGTGGGTGCTATCATGATGCTGCCACTGCTGTGCAGTAGCTTGTTGCTACTGTGCGGTAGGATCAAAAACAACCCATGCGCTACAGGACTGTGAAGTACCAACTGGTAAAGCAAGTACTAAATGACTGCGCAGTACCAACTGCATCGTCAGGGGCATGTGTAAATGAGCCCACTGAGGATAATTAACCTATGTACGTGGAGGATTCTTTGTTTCTTGAAATCTTCAAATTAAGACTAGATCCCTTTCTCAATCATATGATGTAATCAAACCAACATACTTGGCTCATTATAGGTGTAAGTGGATACTGGCCTGTATTATGTATGAGGTCAAACTAGATGGGCCCATCTTTAAAATCTACATATATTCATTTCCATGAATGCAATTAGCTATGTGGTAGGCAAGAACCTGACAACCACTTGCATACCAAAATTCTATGACAATTTGTCACAATTTCCCTTTCTAGGAATAAAGCAACTGATACAAACAGGTTTTTTTGTTTTACCTTTTCTTAGGGCCAAAGCATGTCAATGGGATTTTTTCTTGAATAAGAGATTTGAAATTTGCCTACATAAAATTCAGGGCCAATCTTGCAGACTTCACATATACACACCTTCCACATGCTGATATCAGGAATGGGATTTCAAAAGGGGCACAAGGGCTTTCATTGAAAGCCAAGGTGATTTGGACACCCAATCCATTAGGTTCCTTTTAAGCCAGGGTACCACACTCACTGAAGCCGTTTTGAAAATCCTGTCTAGATCCATAACATTTCACGTTCTTGTTCATTTATGAAATGTTATAAAACTCCTCATTTAACAGTGCTTCAAATCATTGATTTTCCTCTGTTACGTTTAACCTACACTTGTGAAGTGGGAATTTATTTTTTGTACTTTAGGAATTGCTTGAATTGTTTGCTATTTAAGTAAATTTGGGTTACTCATAAGATGGCATTTCTTTCCCTTCCTTTCCCCAGCCACCCCCACTCACTCACTGCCTTAAGGTATAAATATATTTTTTTAAGGTTAGGTAGGATCATTTTGCTTTGTTTAATCTACTGCACAGTTCACACCATGAAACATTACCTGGTGGTGCCAGCATCAAACCCATAAGTTTTAATTGAGCATATCCTCTAGAAGGACATCAAGTCTTGATTTAAACAGATCAAGTGATGGAGATTCCACTCCACCCCAACATAGCTTTTCCAAAGGTTAATTACCTCCACATAAATTGGATTTGTGTCTGTTGTTATAGCTACTTAGACAGCGCACTCCATCCCTTTCACAGCAAGTCCATGCCTCTGCGGAGACATGACTCAGCACTAAATTCCTGACCTTCAGATCTGCTTCTCAAGTTGAGAGAGTTTCTGGTTGCTTGTGGTTAAACCTGGACTGTAGATTCTTCTCCATAACAAAATATAACTATTGATTTGGTGGATTTTTACTATGGTTAAGGGACCATGTGCAGTCTTACCAATCGGGACAGGTTTCCATTAAAAAAAAAAAAAAGAAAGAAAGAAATGAAACACTAGTCTTCTAAACACTAGTGGAAAGTCTTTGGTGTATTGAGCTGAGAAATTAAAATAGTAAAGGAAGAAATTATACAGATTAGTTCAATACTAGTTCACTACAAGGCTCCCTGTTAGCCATTTGCTAGAATTTAATTGGAATACTTGTTACTGAGTTCTGATGTGTTGTTCACCTGTGACTGTGGTGTGAAAATCTTGTGGAAGTATTAGGTGTCTTTAGAGGGTATAAAGAGCAGTATGCCAGTTTCAACCAAGCTAGATATAAGCCAGTATACTTTCTGATCATACAGTTTATTTGTAATTTTGTCATAGATGCACCATGTGGTCTAAATTTCCAAACTAGGTGGGCACAGAGCAGGCTTTCCTAGGTTTTCTACCTTATAATAAATCCAGTGTCAATATGTGGGCGCTTAGGAAACTGAGTAATAGAGTAGGTCTTGGTTTTTCATGGGGGTTGAGTTCCTTGCAGAGAACCCTGTATCTGCTCTGTGAAAATGAACAAATACATTTTCTTTTATTTGGAAAGTAATCAAACTATGGAGTCTGAATATTTTTCCGTTTTGTAGGGCTTAGTATCTCCTGAGCTACCAAGCAAGCAAATCTTATTTCATCTAATCCTGTTTCTCAGGTCACCCATTTTTCCAGGGACTTTTTCATTGTTTGGAGTGCCCCTCCTCAATTTTCTAAGTATTTGTGTTCTACTGAATGAATTGGCATTTCTGTTTTACTCACACAGGTTTCTTTACATTTTTAGTAAAAGTAAATCGCTTCTTGGCCGTTTGAAGGCTCAGATCAAGTATTTGTTTCTTCTCATGACTCCATTTCCTTCTGTATCAGTCTTTTTGGAGCACCCCGCCCCCCCCACCTTCCATTACTTTTCCAAATGGTTTTATTCCTTCAAATGCAGGTTCAGGTTGTGACTTTATACGGATATTCATTTTCTTCTGGGAAAGTCACTGGTCTCTCAGGAGAAACCACAAGTGTAAAGATGTTTCCCAGAGTAAAAATGGCTGCTCTGGGAGAGAAATAACTGAAATAACTTGGGAACAACCAGATTAAATCACTCCTAGGAGAGTTTCTTCTGGGAAAGTGAATGTTTGTACATGCTGTGGCTTATTTCAGAAGAGAATATAGTTCTCCAACATCCCTCTCCCTCTGACCCTCCCCCCCAGTCCCCCTCATAGAGTCTCACTTACTGGACTCTGCTGCTGCAGCAGGGAGCAGAACACACCCCTTTCAGAAACCCCATGTTGTGCTGCAGGGAAACATGGGCTAACCATGGGCAGTCTGGGTCAGCCAGTCAGGGCTTCCCTATGCAGCCCAACTATCTGTCACCAGGCAGACTAAAGGAGCCTGCAGAACAGGCTAAGATGTGTGTGTAGCATCCCAATCCTTCCCTCCCCACCAGCTGCACAGGTTCAGCATTGTAAGCTCTCTTCTCTTCAGGGCCTTGTCATTCAAATGTCTGGACACACAGCTCTATGTAAGTTTTTCTACCAGGAGAACAAGTATGGGAGAGTTTGCACAGAGTATTTGAATGTGTGTATGCAGCCTCTTTTATCTTTGCTTGTGAATCAGTTCACCCCTGCCTTTCCTGTCTTATGGGCTTCCCAGTGCACAAAGTGTACCAGCTGTTACTATTAGTTTGGAAGCTATGTTTAAACTTGGAATGACCCTTATTATTTGGTCAGGCTTGTACCACCATTTACTAGCTGTTTTTGCAAGGTTCTGCAGCTCTCTCAATTGCATCTTCCCATACTTGAGCTTTTGCCATAAATCCCTCAGCTGAACCTTCACCCATCCATGCATGTGCTCATTTTAGTCGCATTAAACTACCATGAGTCAGTGAGAACAATGGGATTCAGCCACTGAAGAGGAACAAATATAATGTCACTTAAATGTTTGGGGAAAAATCCTGGTGACTCCTCACATCAGGATGCCAGCATCTCATAATGGAACGTGTACATAATAAAGCAACTGTTGTATACAGCTAGGTGCCCTTTTGTGTGTTGTACTTCCAGAATTAGCAGCAAATCCTAGCTCTGTATAGGAACCTGCCACTTGTGCATTTAGAAATCTGTGCAGTCTTAACAGAGCAAACAATGCAATCAATTGGAATTGTGCTAACATTGCTCTCTGCATCTGTTTCCACTGGAATCCAGTACTGTTTTAAGTGCCTATTTTGCCTTCTGATGCTATGCTGATATCATACTGGAATTCTAAAGTTATTCCTGGTTAGTAATTCTTTTCTTTTTGTTGATTTCTTTACCTTACCATTTTGCATCTGCATTTCGCAGACAATCTATCTGCAATAGGATTTTTTTTTTTTGTCCATGTCGTTTCTTTTGAAATGACTTCCTCTAATCCTATAACAGATATTTGCAGGACATGCTGTTGAAGAGATTTATTTTTTTTCCCATTAAGATAAGTGCAAAGTAATGTCTGCTAATCTACATCAAACATTTTGTGGTAGAGGTGATTCCATTGTATCGTAAACTGCATATGGTCTTTGTTTGCTTTAGGACAGATGTCGGCTCTCAAAATATTTTCCTTAATTTTCATTTACTAAATTGATGTTCATTCTTCTTCATTTTAAGATGGAAGTTACAGACAGAAGCGATCAAACCAGACAAGACTGTTAGTACAACCAGTTTCTGCAGTGCTAGTCAAAAAGCTTACTTCTTTACCTGAGGAGCATGGCAACAACGATAGGTGTGTCCCTCTTCAACTGACTACAACAGGTAACACTCTTTTAAATGATGGCTTTCTTTAACTGTGAAATGTTCCTTAAGCACTCTGAATGCATTCTGGATAATTTCTATAATTGAGGGTTTGGCTGATTGCAGGTACATTCTGCTTAGCAGCCTTTTAACAAGAGACTATGAAAAGCACATAAATTATGCTCTGAAAAATGTGCTAAATTGAAGCTGAGTGAAAACAAAGTGCTGTGAAGTGCTACAAAAGAGCCATTTCAAAATAAAGCGTTTGGTGCATTAAGCTTCTAAAACCTTATTCATATTACTTCCAAGTTTCAGCTCTGGCGATCACATCATCTGCCAAGTTTCAGCTGATATAAGTCAGATATTGGGAGTATGAAGTCTCTTAGTACAAGGCATTAAACTCTAATTCCTCTTATTGACTAAAAAATCCCACTGTCTTTATGCATCATCACCCAGGAGATGCTGCTGGTGGGGCAGTGCAGTTTGTTAGGCCTTGTTGGACAACCGAGGATATGATTGAAGCATTTAAGGTACTACTTGCAGTATTAATGCTGTGGGTTGTGTTTTATTTCTGCCTCCAGCATATATATTATCCTTCTGAACAGCAATCTATCTTTCTTCATTGTTTAATTTGTATCTGTTAGCTTGAATATAAACAGCAACAGCGTATGTCTGTCTCTCAACCTAAGGGCACCTTTTCCTGCATGTTTCAGCAGGAAAAAGCTGCACTCCAACAGCAAAAGCAATAGAAAAAGGATGCCTTGAGTAGCAGCTGAATGACAAAGAGCAATGCATTCAGAGTGTCTCCACAGAGATCATACCCTTAGCAGAGTCATGCAGATTATTGCTTTAACAAACTAATTATCGATTTGGGGGAGGGGAGGGCATGAAAATACAATCTGGGAGAACAGATATTGCTCAGGGTTTAAATGAAGCCGTGAGCATAGACAACCCTGCTGGGGAACTGCGCGTTGAAACAGAAATGCTTTCTTTCTTTCTTTTTTATTGCATTCTGCTTTCTTTCCTCAGTAGAAAAATGCATTAGGTCTGCATATTATATTATCTATTCTCAGTCCTTTAGAGGTGCTCTGTGTGTATGCTGTAATTTTTCATTTAAAAAAAGAAAGGAAAATAAAAGACCTTACCATTTGGCTTTGTAAATAAATAATGTTTTCACACCGTTCCCCACACTGGATAAAGCCGATTCCCACAGCAAAAGTTGTGCATTTGAAAGGCAGCCGTTATACGTTGTGGGCATGAGTGGTTGCATCAGTTGTTTATCACTTTTAAAAAGTTACTGTGGGATACAATAAAACAAGGGCATAAAAAAAGGTTGGTTAATTTTATGACCAGTATTAGCATTTGCAGTTATGCATACTAAAAATAAGGGCAGTGAAGCCTCGTGCCTCAGGGCATAAATGGCTGAGGTCAAGAAAGAATATTTCCCTCCATGCATAGTTGACTAGGTGTTTTATAGAGGTCTTAAGCTTTCCAAAAAGCAACAGCTGGAGGAAAGGGCCAGAGGCAATGTAAAGACTGGTAAGGCAATGCATCACAAGGAAGATGTGGTTAATGTGCTTTCCCTTTTTAAGAGAGAAATGTGGGTCCCTTTCAGATGCAAGGAGTGAGCTTTCAATTTGTGAAAAGCTGGATTCCCTTAGGGAAGCGGGCCTCAAAAATGCAAGCTGGCCTGTAGTGTCTTCTGCTCCAAATAGGGAAAAGATCCATCGAGGCCCTCTGCTTTGGGCCCCTGCCCCAAGACTAGGGGCTCTAGCCTAGAGCACTCTGTATTTTGGTGCCCTCAGAGTCCTAGCATTTTTGTGCTTAGGATGCCAGGAATTGCATGTGTATTATCTAAGAGTAAACAGCTTGTTTGCCTCTCAGACTATGAAAAGCTTGACCCCTGGTTCTCCTTAGCCTGGACCGCAAGGGAGCAGCTTATATCAGACTCCAAATAGGAAATGGCGTACTGCAGCGACCGCTGTTCTGCTTGGAGCTCTTTCAAAAGGGGAACATTTGAAAAGGGCAACGGCTGTTGCATTCTGCTTGTTGCGTGTGGACAAGCTGAGAAGGATTCACGTGTAGCAAACCTGCTTCACCTTTTAACCCTGGATAAAGGAGTGTGAAAGTTGAAGTGGTTTTGAATCCTTCTCAGCTTGTCCACACATAACAATTTGAACGGACCAGCTGTTGCCCTTTTGAAATGTTTCCCTTTTGAGAGGGCTCCAAGCAGTCTGTGTGTCCACACACAGGGAGGCTATGATGCTGCTTCGCTAAATGCCAAGGCTTTGATATAGTCAAGACAGAGTTGATAAGAGCCTTATTATTTGGGATAGTCACAGTCAGAGTTCATAGAATGGAGCAAAGGTTTCATCTGGTATGATAACAGATGTTATCTAGCTATGTCATAATAATACTTTTAAAAAAAAAAGAATTGCTTGCTGAGCCGAATGATACGTATCAGAAGTGGTTGAAGGCCAGATCTTTAGCCTTCCAGTTGATTTGAAGAAGCATAAGAAATATTTCACTTCTGATGTAGAGCTCATCACTTAGGTGTCAAAAGAGATGAATGAGCAATTCAGATGATTGGTTGGTCTAAATTTTGTTAGGATGAAATGCTCATCATTCTCTTGTCACTATGTTTCAAAAAGCTGAGCCGCAGACTCATCAGTAATGATTAAACATTTATATATGGTTTTTTTATATTGCCTTCTTTTTTCCCTAGTCTAGAACTTTTTGAGGGACATTTCATTATGTGACAAGGTGGGGGGAGAGGATTGAAGGGAAACAGTTGAGATGCATTGAAGTACAAGTTCCAAAATAAGAATGGAAATAAAAGTTTGCCTCATTGGTTGCTTCAGTGTTTTTGGTGGTGCCATCCTCTTTTATCAAGGCACTTATGACCTTACACGCAAAAAAGTCTTTCCCTACTTAGCAGAGATTTGAGGGTACAGTGTAGTGAAGCCACATACCACTAAAATTGTTATTTTCATGGATTATTTACTCTAAATTTACTAAAACGTTAAGAAATATTATCATAATACTACCACATGCTTATCAGTTGGGGCGTTTACATCTGTGCCAGACGGCACGGTTGTTACTGCATAGTCATTTAATACTTGCTTAAGCAAATATTAAATGTGCAGTAACCGATGTTACTGTGCAGTCCCGACGCTGCATGGGTATTTTTTAGAAGCTACTGCACAGTAGCATCGGCATCACAGTTCGTGCCTGACCACGCTACATCACTGTAGCAATCAGCTTCATGGCTACAGCATCTCGTGTAAACGTGCCTGGTATAAATGAAGCAGAGCATTTTGGGTTAATTTGTTGTTGCTTGTTTTCTTGTCAACATATGACATTCAGTCATTTTCCATGGATCTTTTTTTATTAGTGCTGGTTAGTGAGTTCCTAGTGTATTCTTTTCTATGGAAGTATGCCATGCATTAGATATTTCTGACTTTGAGCAATTATGTCTAGTGATATTTTAGTTATAAGGTATGTTTTAATCACAAATAGCTATATATTTTGGGGTTGGCTGTTGCTGTGGTCTAATTCAAAAGCATTTTTTTTTTAAATTTTTCATTGGGATATGTGAAAATGAATTTTATGAAGTTATGCTTATGCCTGATACTCACTGTTTCACCCCACAAGGCAACTATTTTAATGTAGCTCAATTAGGTTTATTTTACAACCTTGGATCAAGGCTACTCTAGAACTGGTGTTTCAGGGACACAATATCAAGAATTTCTCCTTCATTATGGGAAAGGTAAGCTTGCATATAGCACAGCTTCCCTATGTCAGGTTACCAGTATTATTTCTTCACTATTATTAAATCCTTTCATAAAGAGGGGAAAAGAGACCAAATGCTAAATATCTGAAGTGGATTTCTTTTTTCTCCAAATATATTTAACTGCTCTCCTCTTAGCATGCTAAAAGCATTTGGTCTATTTTGAATCCTCTAACGATAGTATGTGTTTACAATTGCAAAAACATTTGTTATGTTTTGGACTCATGAAGAATATAAATTGTTCAAATGATACATCTTGCACTTAACAGCTACTCCAAAAGTTTTGACTATAATAGCTGCAGTCCTAACATGAAAACACTGTAAATGGGATTAAAATTACTTCTCTGTGGGCTCATCTATACATGTATTTGATCTTGCAAGTAAATGCTCCTGAGCAGGTGTATAGACATGCAGCAAAGTGGGAGCATATTTACTGCGAATGGCAGCAAACTGCTCCCGTTTCCTGGAGTCCCTCTATGGGCCCCAGCCAGCACCCAGGGGGAGCTCTAGGCAGGGAGTCCTGGGCCAAGAGACAGCTGTCTCCTGGCTGGGGCTGGGACACTACACCCTGCCCCTGGGGTGCTGTGCTGATGGGGCAGGGACAATTTTCTTATGCCCTACGAACAGGGAGATCCTGGCCCTGGCTCCCCAGTCAGCAGCAGGGGACTTGGAAAGAGCTGCAGGGGAGGGACAGGTCCCAGCCCTCTGCCCCAATTCACTGGTGGGGCAGCTAGAAGCTAGTTCACTATGCCACTGCTCTATGAAGGCAGCCTTCTGTTTTAGCTATCACCTCAGCAAGAAGCGGGATGTGATGTGGGTGTCAATGGTGTACTTTCCAAGTAGTTTTCTACTTGCACCGTCTTTGAAGAATCATTCCAACTTCCTGTGTAAGGTTGTCATGAAACTTTATCTCAGCCATGGATCAACCTGCTGATAGTTCTCTTTTTTTCATAGATTCATAGACACTAGGGCTGGAAGGGACCTCA